AAGGGAGATGGTAGGAATCCATAGACTCACTGTACCAAAAAAGAACTGGTTAATATTGAAAAATTTCAGGAAGTAACATATGAACAGGAGCAATCGGTAATAAAGGAAGAAGTTAAAGCTTCACTAAAGACATTGGCAAAAAATGAGGCCCCAGGAATCAATGAAATATCAATTTACATGTTTCAACTAACAGATGCATTCCTTTTTTTTTAATTTTTATTGTATTATTTTTACATGTACCGTCAAATCAGATCTGACTGGTACAGGAGGAGGTTGTCGCCTCCTTCTCCAGCAGAGCATCTGGTGAATTTGAACCGTGTACCTCTGGGATTGCCACTAAGCCACCAGAGCTCCCTTAACAGATGCATTCTTGAATGAAGAAATTTTTAGGACAGCTGCCTGGCCAACCGACGGGAAGAGATTCACATTTGTTCCCATTTCAAAGAAATGTGATCCAACAGGACATGGACATTTTCAAATAGTATTCATTAATATTGCATTCAAGCAAAATCTTGCTGAAGATCATCTACAAATGTCTAGAAGAGTACATTGACAGAGAACTGCTAAAAGTTCAAGCTGAGTTTGAAAGAGGCCACGGCACCAGAGATATCGTTGCTGATGTCAGCTGGATCCAAGCTCAAAGCAGAAAATACCAGAGAAATGTCTGTTTGTGTTTTATTTACCATGCAAAGGCTCTTAACTGTGTGGATCATCACAAACTACAGCTAGAACTGAGAAGAATGAGAAACCCAGAACACTTAATTGTGCTCATATGAAATCCATACCTAGATCAAGGGGACACTGCATGATTTAAAATCAGGAAAGGAAGTATATAAAGGATATCTCCCTTTCTCCACACCTACTCAATCTGTATGATGAGCAAATTATTCAAGGATCTGAATTCTATGAAGAATGTGTCATCAGGATAGGAGGAAGACATCAATAACCTGCACTATGCAGGTGAACTAATCTTGCTTGCTGACAGTAAGGGTGACTTGAAACACTGCAGAGAATCAAAGACAACATTCATACTCACCTGGCAAGAGAGATACCATGATCACGAAGGTGGTTTCCCCAGGGCAAGGCTTATCCATTGCATTCCAGATGTGCTGACCCCTGTGATTTCTCCAAATGTGGGAAACTCGATTGCATAATTTGTGGTAGTGGGAGACTGCATTTGTGCTTTCCCCTGTTTTTTTTTTAAAAAAAGGAAAAGATGGATTGCATCTCAACATCAAGAAAACAAAAATTCTAACCACTGGACCAATAGGCAACATCATGATAGATGGAGAAGAGACTAAAGTTGTCAACAACTTCATTCTGCTTGGTACAGCTGTCAGATCAGAAGTATTGCATTGGGCAAATCTGTCATGGATCTCCAAACCACTAAGGATCAATGACGTCAGTTTGAAGACTAAAGTGCACCTGATTCAGACCATAGTTTTTCAATCACTTGCTATGCATGTGAGAGCTGGACAGTGAATAAGGATGACAGAAGAAGGATTGATCCCTTTGAGTTGCAGTGTTGGAGAATAGCATAGAATATCTCAGGAACTTAAAAAAAAAAAAAAGAAGAAGAAGAAAGAAAAAAACCCAAACAGATGTGTCTTGGGAAAAGTGCAGCCAAAGTGCTCCTTGAAGACATGGATGGTGAAACTTTGTCTCGTGTATTTTGGGCATGTTAGAAGAGTCTATTCCTTGAAAAGGGGACACAACGTTTGAAAAGGTGGTGAAATGACATAATGACTGCAGCAATGTGAGAAAATATTTCTTTTTTTAAATTTTATTATTTTTTTGTGTGTGTACCATCAAATCGAATCTGACTGGTGCAGGATATTGTCTCTCCTTCTCCAGCAAAGTGTCTGGTGGATTTGAACCATCACCTCAGGGATTGCAGTGCAGTTTCTTGCCACTAGGCCACCAGAGCTCCCTGGGAAAGTATTCCTATGACCTGTTAGCAGGTTTTCAGAGGCAATAAATCACACAGGAGGAGATTGTTCTTCTTTCTCACTTGGAGCAGTTGCAGGATTCAAAGCACATGCCTTTGGGTTGGCAGCACAACTCCTTAACATTAGGCCAGCAGAGCTCCCTGGTAAAGGTAGACAGTAAGCCAAGAAAGGAAGACTCTCAATGAGCTGGATGGACGCAGTAACTGCCACAATGAGCTTGAGCCTGGCAGAGATCGTAAGGGTTGTGTAGGATGGTGAGGTTTAGATCTGGTGTTAATAGGGTTGCTATGAATCATAGGCGACTTGGCAGCAACTGACAATGCTAGTAATACCCAATCTGGCTGTTGTTAGGTGCTATAGAGTCAAATCTGTCTCCTAATGACCCTTATGCATAGCAGACTGAAACTGTGCCTGATTCTGCACCATCCTCACAATTGGAAAGACCATTGGTGCAGTCACGGTTTCTTCATTATCTAATGCTGGTTTAACAGCTACCACAGGAGCTGGTTTAGCAAACAGGAACGTATCCTCTTACAGTATGTTGTGGTTGTTATGTGCCATCTAGTCGCCTGCCACTCATAGCGACCCTACAGACAGCAGCTCTGAAGCCTGCCCTGTCCAGAACCAGTCTCTCTAATTCCAACACACCAACTCCTATTGCCCCAGTCATTGTATGAATCTATCTCATCCGGGGTTCCACTCTCAGGATACAAGCTCTAGAGGAAGCCCCCCCCCCCACTGCTTGTGGATAAAAGCTCTTGTTTTACTTACACCTTCAGCATCTATAGTCCCAGCATTCACTGGACATATCCAACTCTTACAGCTTCTTCCAAGTCAATGAGCTTCACTGTGTAAGGGCCTGAGTTCAAAAAAATCTAACTCCACTCCTGGGGTTTATTTCTTGGTCTAAGGGACATGCCTCTTCTTGGCTCCCTTTCCTCCTTTATCTCTAGTGAGGTAGAGATTTTACAGGCCACATCCTAGAGGAATTCTCTGTACATCCAATTAGATTGGGTTGGGATTAGTATTGCATTGCATCCTTAATTCTCCTACAACTGTTTGGCATAGCAGATCATGGGGAATCTTTACACAATTCTACATTACATTATTATACACATGTCCAATTCAATCCACGACACTATGCCAGCCTAACTCATAAAGGGTTTTCCTCTCTTTCAATGACCTTCCATCTTCCAAAATATGATTTCCCTCATCAAAGATTGGCTTCTCTTACAACCTGTCCAAAATAAGTGAGATGAAGCCTCACAATCCTTGCTTCTAAGGAGGGTTTAGAGGTTGCATTTCCTCCAAGATTTGACCTGTATGCTGAGAAAATAATCCCAGAAACTGGACTATATGAAGAAGAACGTGGCATCAGGAAGACTCAGCGAACTGTGACATACAGATGATGCAACTTTACCTTGCTGAAAGTGAGGAGAACTTGAAGCTGTGACTGTCAAAGATCAACGACTACAGTATTTGCTATGGATTACATTACTTTTTTTTTTTAAAAAAAGACAGTAAGTAAATAAAACTCCTCACAACTCATCATTCTCACCAATAAGTGGCATCATGATGAATGCAGAGATGATTGAAGTTGAGAATTTCATTTTACTCTGTTCAGTGCCTAGGGAAGCAGTAGCTGATAAATCAAATCAAGCATTACATTGAGCTGCAATCTGCTGCAAATCATCTTTACTTTTTAAATAGTTAAAAACCCAAAAACGAGGGGAGCTCTGGTAGCCTAGTGGCAAGAAGCTGCACTGCAATCCCAGAGGCACACGGTTCGAATCCACCAGATGCTCTGCCGGGGAAGGAGGGACAATCTCCTCCTGTACCAGTCGGATCTGATTTGACGGTACACACACACACACACACACAAATAATAAAAAAAAAAATTTAAAAAAACACCCAGAAATGTTACTTTGAGAACTAAGGTGTGCCAGATTCGAATCATGATCTTTTTAATCTCCCCATATACACTGGCCTAGTGGCAAGAAGCTGCGCTGCGATCCTGAAAGCATCGCGTTTCGAGTCCACCAGCTGCTCCCAGGGAGAAGGATGGGCAGTCTCCTCCTCTGTGTTTAACTACCTCTGAGAACCCCCTGAAGATCAGCTCTGGGTCGGTTCCAGCTCTATGGTACAGAACAACTTGTATATAAACTTTGACAACAATAATTCATTGCCATCAAGTCAGATTCACTTCATAACTGACTTTCCAACAAACTTTCAGTGGCTGTAAATCACACCAGAGGAGATTGCCCATCATTCCTCTGGCGGAACAGTTTGTGGGTTCAAACTACTTGCCTTTGGGTTGGCAAGTCAAATTCTTACCTACTAAACTAGAAGAATTCTCTATACGGAAGCTAGACAATGAATAAGGAAGACTGAAGAAGAATTTACGTCTTTAGATTATGGTGATGGTAAAGAATATTGAATAACCAGAAGAATGAATATATGCCAGAAATACTGCCAGAAATACAATCAGAATGAATATACTGGCAGAAATACAATCAGAATAGTCCTTAGAAACAAAATGGCAAGATTAGGTCTTAACATACTTTTGAACATGTTACCAGGACAGAACAGTCTCTGGAGAAAGAGATATCTAGAGTAGAGTGAGATTTATTGAATGTCTATAAAAATGCTCTGGTTTTCTTTTCACAAGCACAGCAATCACTTTGAGGGTTGACCCGACTGGGCTGTGTTTCCTTCTGTTGTATCTCGGAGTCGCTATGAGTCAGCACCTAACAACAGCATTGCTAGTCTAGTAATTATTCTGAGCGTTTAGGACTCCAAGAAGGAAGGTTGCAGGGCGGTATCCTTGCACAGAACCCAACTCTACTCAGTCAGAGGATAAGAACGCCAGACACTTGGTGAAGAAAGGCCACCCACATGCAATTTATAGCGGGGGGCGGGGAAGTGAGAGGGCTGGCCATCCCCAGGCCCCTCCCCACCCCTCCTTGCTTTAACTGGAGCGCTGTGCGCAAGCGCAGATCCAGCACCCGGGCAGCGCGGTCTCTGTAGCAAACCCCGCAGGAGCTCACGCGCATGGAGGGGCGCGGGGGATCTCGGCGCGAGTCCCGCGCCCGCCCTTCGGCGGCTGTGCTGTTCCGTGGCCCAGTGGAGCCTGTCATCTTCATAGCCAACTTCGCATTGGTCCTGCAGGGCCCAGTCACCACACAGTACCTCTGGCACCGGTTCAGTACCGACCTTGGCTTTAATGGCACCCGCACCAAAGAGAGCTGCAACAACCACAGCGTGGACCCTACCATGCGGGTACGACGATAGCGAGGAGCGAGGGGCTGGCAAGAGCGTGGAGGGAAGTGGGTTGCGGGGCTAAAAGGAGAGATGGGGGTCGGGCAGAGCCTGATAAAAGGTGGAGGGGCCTTGGAGGGGTTCAGATATTAGTTCGTGGGCGGGGCCTGATGCGACCTGGAGATGCACCAAAGTTGATCTGAGAAAGCATGGCCTTAAAGGTTAACAGAAGAGAGTAAAACTAAGGAAATAAACCCCAAAGAAAGTTTTAAGATTCTTTCCTTCCAAAAATAACCTCCAACCCCATAGCTCTCAAGATAATGATGTTAATAAGTTAGTGGGTTCAGGGTAGATGGGGAACCCCGAGCTTAGAACCACATGCTACTAAGGTTTTTGCCCCCACAGGAAGTGGAGACCCTCACCTCCCACTGGACAATGTACATGAACCTGGGCGGCTTCCTAGTGGGACTCTTCACGTCCACCCTGCTGGGAGCTTGGAGTGACTGTGTGGGCCGCCGTCCGCTGCTGGTGCTGGCCTCGCTCAGCCTGCTGCTCCAGGTCATAGTCTCCATCTTCGTGGTGCAGCTGGATCTCCACGTTGGCTTCTTCGTGCTGGGCCGCATCCTTTGTGCTCTCCTTGGCGACTTCAGTGGCCTCCTGGCAGCTGGCTTTGCCTCTGTGGCAGACGTCAGCACCAGCCAGAGCCGCACTTTCCGAATGGCTGTGATGGAAGCGTGCATTGGGGTGGCAGGCATGCTGGCGAGCCTTCTCGGGGGCCACTGGCTGCGCGCCCAGGGTTACGCCAACCCCTTCTGGCTGGCCTTAGCCCTGTTGATAGTCATGACTCTCTACTCAGCGTTCTGCTTTGGTGAGACCGTGAAGGAGCCGACACACACCAAGCTCTTCACGCTGCGTCACCACCGATCCATTTTCCAGCTCTATGTGACGCCGGCCCTGGGGAAGTCCAGGAAGCATTTAGCCCTGTACTCGCTGGCTGTCTTCACTGTAATCACTGTGCACTTTGGGGCCCAGGACATCATGACCATCTATGAGCTGAGTGCGCCCCTCTGCTGGGACTCCAAGCTGATTGGTTATGGTTCTGCGGCTTACAACCTCCAGTACCTCACCAGCCTGCTCGGCCTGCGGCTTCTCCAGTGCTGCCTGGCTGACACGTGGGTAGCCGAGATCGGCCTGGCCTTCAATATCCTGGGCATGGTGGTCTTTGCATTTGCCACCATCACACCCCTCATGTTCACAGGTAACGTGGGAGGTTCCAGAGGCCACCCACTCTGTCCTCAAATGGAGTTCATGTCTTGGGGGAAAAAAGAGCATTTTGCCTTCAGTCGGCAAAGGAAGGCTGATATCCAAGAAATCCCAGGAAAACATATTCTCTTAGAGACCTTCAGTGGCCAAAGCAGCTAATCCACATTACCAACCATAAATGTTGCTAGTAATACAGAGTGTAGAAGATACAAAAGTATGGCTCATCGGCTAATCACCTCACCCCTTGGCCTTCTTGCCTGCTCATGGTGTTCCTAAACAAAGTCCATGCCCTTAGCGCCTCCATACTCACTTCTGTGATAAGAATCACAGACTTCAAAAAAGCCTTGGTCAGTGGCTTTGGGTTTTAAAAGAAGCCAGTCTCCTCAGACCTCATAGAGGATATTTCCCCTTGTTTTACTTCTTTTTTTCATTAGAAAAGTAGAAGGACACTCAGTTCTTACAAGCTGGGGCTAGCCAAGGAATGAGGAAGTTAACATTTTTAAAGGGACAGATTAATTTTTGTTGTTGTTAGGGGTGTGGGTGTTTTTAAAGAGATTGATTTTTATTGTGATTTGAGTGGCACAAAGCAAATTGATTTTACATTTGACCAGTCTTACACATTCTGCTTTGTCACATTAAGATGATGATGTTGTTATGTGCCATTGAGTCACCTGCGACTCATAGCGACCCTATGTACAATATCTCTGAAGCCTGCCCTGTCCTGAGCCAGTCTCACTGACTCCGACAAACCCACCCCTCTTGTCACTGTATCAATCCATCTCATCTGTGATCTTCCTCCCCTGCACTGTCTCTCCACCCTTCTGAGCATGAATCCTTCTCCAAGAATCGGTCCGTCCTGTGAGACAAAGCTTCAAAATCTTAGCCTCCAAGGAGAAACTCACAATATAATCAGACCCCTCTTACTTCCTCCCTGTAATTCTTATCTCCCTTTCCTACTACCTTCAGGATTTCATCCTCCGGTAAAAGCTGCTCTTTTGACCCTATGTGGTTGGTTAGTCTAAGGAGCAGTATGCTTTCTCCATACCTATTTAATCTGTATGCTGAACAAACTATCTGAGAAGCTGTACTCTATGAAGAAGAAAGTGACATCAGGATAAAAGGAAGACTCATCAGTAATTATCCAAATGATACAACCTTGCTTGCTCAAAGTGAGGAGGATTTGAAATACTGGCTGTAGAAGATTGAACACTGCAGCTTTCAGTATGGATTGTACCTCATCAAGACAACAAAAATCCTCACCAGTGGACTGATAGGCAACTTATTGATAGATGAAGAAAAGATTGAAATTGTCAATGACTTCATTTTACTTAGATCCACAATCCTTAACTTGATACCAGCAATCAGGAAATAAGGAGACTTATTGAAATGAGAAAGTCTTATGGTCAGGGACCTCTTCAAATAATTGAGGAGCAATGATGTCAGTTTGAGGACCAAGATGCTCCGTTGTCTTTTCAGTCACTTGCTGTGCGTCTGAGAGCTGGACAGTGACTAAGGATGACAGAAGAGGAATTGATTCCTTTCAACTGCAGTGTTGGAGAAGGTGCTTTGGACATGTTGCTAGGAGAGGTTACTCTGTAGAAAGGGAGATCATGCTTGGAAAGGTGGAGGGACAGCGAAGGAGAGTAAGACCCTCAACCAGGTGGACTGATACAGTGTGTCAGAGATTGTGTGGACCGCAGAGGATAGGATAGAATTCAGAGCTGTTCATAGGGTCTCTGTGAGTTGTACTTGAACTAACAACAACAGTCTAAGGAGTGAGTGCCTTCTGGATGTGACTGGTCACCATGTAGGCTTGTCTAGGGATGGAGTCCACCCTCTGGCCAGAGATGGGGTCCACCCCTCCAGCTGGGGTTGCGGTCTACACCTCTAGGTGGTGTAGTCCATAGAGAGTTGTACTGCTAAGCCAAAGGCTGGCCATCTCTGGTGGTTTGAATCCATGGGTAAAAGATGGGCAGCCTCCTCCTGTTCTCAGAAACCTGCTGGCAGGTTTATAGGTGGAACTGACTCAATGACAGTTTTTGTTACTGGATTGAAGAACCCTGGTTGCATAGTGAATTAAGCCTTAAGCTGTTAACCAAACCCATCAGCTTCTCCATGGGAGAAAGATGTGAAGTCTGCTTCCATACAGATTGACATCCTAGAAGCCCTGTGGGTTTGTTCTGCTCTGGCCGGTAGGGTTGCTGTGATTGGGAATACTCTTAATGGCAGTGGATTTGGTTTGCTGGAAATAAGGACACTCATCTAAAAGTTCACAGTTTTGCCAAAGAGACAAGGGCAAGAGAAAGGTTATGAAGAACAGTGTGAGCCTGTAACTAAATACAAAGGGAAACGGAGCTCACAGCTTACTGTCCATGCTCCTCATGACTGTGACCTTGTTGCTTCCTAGATTACCTGTTGCTGTTGTGACAAATTAACACAGGCTTGGTGAGTTAAAACAACAGAACTTCATTCTTGGCACAGTTCTAGAAGCCAGAAATCGGAATCAGTGTCGCTGGAAAGAAATGAAGGTGCCAGGAGCGCTCCCTGCACAGGCTCTGGGAACAGGGACGCTCTCCCTGGCCTTTTCTTCCTTCTGGTGGCTGCTGGCATCCTTCGGCTTGTGGCTGCATCACCCCAGTTTCTGCCTCCATGAGCATGTGAGACCCTGTTCTGTGCGTCTTCTTCTCTGTCCATCTTGCTCTGCTTCCGTATTACTAGGCAACACGTAATTACATTTAGGGTCCAGGATAATTTTCCAAACAAAGCCAGATTTACATGTTCTAAGGATTAGGGACCGATGTCGTTGGGTAGCTATTATTCAACCTATCTGAGAAGGCCTTGTTAACTTTACAGATAAAAAGTCAGCCTTAAGAGAGCTCTGGTGGTCTAGTGGCAAGAAGTTGCATTGCAATCCCAGAGGTACATGGTTCAAAGCCACCAGATTCTCTGATGGAAAAGGAGGGGCAATCACCTCTACCAGTCAGATCCTATTTGATGGTACACACACAAGATAAAATAAATTTTAAAAAAGCCAGGCTTAGTAAGATTAACTATCTAAGGTCACATAACAATAAACTCATTACCATCAAGTCGGAACGAACTCATAGCTGGCCCTCCAGTGGGTTTTCAAAGGCTGTAAATTACACGGGAGGAGAGTGCCCGTCTATCTCCCTCAGAGAAGTTGGTTGATTCTGAACTAAACCACTTGCCTTTGGGTTGAAATCAAAATTAAATGTTCTTGAAGATGTGGTTTTAGCAATTGGACAGGAAGTAAGTAATTTAAAAATTCAGTTATCCACCAAGTGTCATGCTGAATTTAAATTTATTTGTATAACTCCATTGAAGTATAATGAAAGTATGAATTGGAATATCATGAAAAATCATTTATTGGGAATTTGGAGAGATAATGACATAACCCATAATTTAAAGAATTTCAGTCAAGCTCATTTAGATATCCCTGATATAGAACAAATGGCTAAATCTTTACAAAATGGACTTCAGCATATGGATCCTTTTAATTGGTTACACGCAGTCGTTCTTATGGCTGTAGTAGGAAGGATTATATTAATTATTGTCTTTATTTTTCCAGTCTTTTTCAGTTTAATCTTTAAAGCTGTCTCTTCTTCATGCCAAGATATCTTTGAGCATCAGTTAAAAATAAAAAAGGGAGAAATGCCACACCAACTCCAAGGGAGTCTGCGTGACAAAATCACCCGATTGAGGCAAAAACGTCAAGGAAGTCAGCCTCTCAGAACGTGTGCTTTCTCCATGATTGTTCTTGGTCTTTCTGTAATTTCTCTTCTATTGTCTCTTTGTGTTTTCTTTGTGGGACAGGGAAAAAAGGCTGTGTTCTTTACACAAAGTGTTCCTATTAAAAGTTTGTTAGATGTTCCCAGAAAGAACTAAATGGAGGTGACGACTTTGATACGCAAACATTACCTCCGGTTCTTTTAGCATTACTAAAACTTCTCAAGAACAATATGATTTTAAGGGAATTCATGGATGCATTATAACAAAGAGCCCATTGTTCTGTTCCCTGCCATCTCCCTGTCAGCTGGTAGGTGGAATGCTGTAACCATGAGAGGTGTTCTGCAAAGAAAGCAGCTGAGAATCCCTGCTCACTCATGAGAGAGGTGGCAGGAGGCCCTAGCTTTCAATGGTGGCCCTGGTTCCTCCTTGGCCTTTGTCTCCCTGCCCTCACCATCAAGGAAGTTCTCTTGGTCCAACCTAAAGCCCATGTGGATATATATTCTCAGATAGGGTACTCACACTCAGACACCCTTCTCCCCACCCTCATTTTCCTGATGAATTTTATCTTCACAGGGTATGGCTTCCTCTTCCTGTCATTAGTTATTACACCTGTCATCCGGGCCAAACTCTCCAAGCTGGTGAGCAAGTCAGAGCAAGGTGAGTGTTGGGATCAACCTGCATCTGGTGGATGCTTCCTGGGCTGGGCAGATGGACCACATCACTCCCACCCTGGATAGGTGGGCGAGGTAAATAGACTTGTGTCAGATTGCCTCAAACTGCTGAAGATCATGATTCCTTGGTTTTCCGGGCCTCAGAGTTGGAATTTGCAGTTGCCAGAATACAATTCTATTCCTTGAGAGTAACTGGAGCAAAGCTTTCGCTCCCTCTAGGTCTCAGCTTTTCCATCTATGAAGTGAATGTGACAATGCTTGGGGTTCCCACTTCACCGGGTCAGAGTGTGTTCACTCAGTGGGAGTTAACAACCTTGTGATGGGGGTCTGTCACCAAGTGACAGGTGAAGCAGCAGAGACCCAGAGGGTCTATTTTTCAAAGTGTGGGTCTAGGAATCTGAGTTTTAAGTCCTGTCTCAGGTTGTGCAATTTGGGGCAGGTCCCTTTCCCTCTTCAAGCCTCAGTTTCCTCAGCTGTAAAATGCGTGACTTGAGGTTAATGTCGATTTATGTTGGCTTTTTGCTCATTTTCCTTCTCTTAGCTTACCTGTAATGGGCACCTGTAATGGGCAGCTTTTGGCTCTCCAGACTCCATTCTGGAAGCATCAGCTCAGCCACTTTTCCCCAGCTACCCTAGAAGTGGTACCTGACGGTGATAGAGACCCCAGTGCCATCCACAGCTGACCACGGGCTCTGCTATTCTCAGACTTCATGCACGTTCATACACTTACTCAGTCAGCTTTTCCCCTCACCTTCACTTGTGCCCAGAGAGGCCACAGGGAACAGGAAAAAAAAGAACAGCTCCGCTAACTGGCTTCCTTTAAGGGACCAAGGTTCAGGTGCTTTGTGTGTGAATCTAATTGTGCTGGCAATCCATGAAGTAGGGATTATCCTTATTTAACCAAAGAGAGAATGGGAACTCAGAGAGGATAAATGACTTAATCCTGTGATCCCACAGCTAGTGTTAGAACTAGGACTTAAATCAGCAGTTAATACAAAAAAAGAAGACAATTGCAAATAGTATAAACCAAAATCTATTTCTTCCAGGTTCTAACCCCCCACCCCCCAGTAGCCCAGGTTCTCATTTAAGACATCACAGGAGATTAGAGTATGAATTTAATAAAACCATTTATTTAGTACCCACCGTGGAATGGGTGGAGCCCCTGGGGGATGCAGATAGTTAAGTACTTGATAACTAGCCAAAAAGCTGGCATTCTGAACCCACCCAGAGGGACCTGGAAGGCAGGCTTGTCCTGCTTCCAAAGGCCACAGCCTTGAAAATGCTACAGCTGAGTTTTACCTTACACACACAGGTTAGAGGAGCCACGACAGTAACTAACAGCTACGAGCAGGTGCTTTCCATGCATAACATCACTGACTCATTATCACAGCACGAGGTTGGGTGTGGTTCACAGATGAGGGGGGGAGGCCCAGAGAGGTGACCTGTCCCAGGTTACACAGCTGTACTTCAGGCGGTGACACTAGGATTTGGCATCTTTTCCCAACTCAAACATGATATTTCTTTCTCCTCAGGTGCTCTCTTTTCCGCCGTGAGCTGTGTGAATAACACGGCCATGCTCATGGCTTCTGGCATCTTCAACTCGCTGTACCCAGCCACGCTGAGCTTCATGAAGGGCTTCCCCTTCCTCCTAGGTGCTGGACTCCTCTTCATCCCGGCCATCTTGATTGGGTAACTCAAGGCCCCAGACCCAGAGCCTCTGATCCCACTCCCAGGCTCACTCCCCTTGCAGAACTCCTTAAAGGCTAGTCCCCAAGGGTGAGCTGGAAATGTGAGTAGAGGAAGGATCCAGCTGACATTGCTTCTTGGCCCACACAAACCCATCCATTCTTATTTGTTAAATGGAACCCCAGTGGCAGACATGTCAAAGGAAACATGGCAAACTTTCTTGGCTAGTTGTGGCTGGGTCACAGGCTGACCTTTCCCTGTGGCCCTGAGGACCACTGTTCATAGCCCTCTGTCTCTGGGCCACTGTTTACCTTTCAGCTTGGGGAGGTGAGGAAGGAGACACCTCAAGGCTAGCCCTCTCAAGCAAAGGCTTCTCTAGACAGGGGACCAGTGTCTCCCGCAGCAAATGTGATCCCTCTCTCTGTTTTCACAGGGTGTTGGAGAAGGTTCATCCTCACGACGAGTTCCAGCAGTTTCCTGACCATTCCGATCTGCCCAGTCCAGAGGCTACTGGAGCCAAGTGAGCACTAACCAGCTGGAACTGTGTCTCCCAGATCCTAGCCCATGGCAGCACCAGCAGCTTCCCTAAAGCCAGACCCACGCTCCTACCCCATCTGTAGTGTGACAGCCGACACACGTCCAGGATAGTGACTCGGACCACACAAGCCCATTGATGCAGGGCTCTGATCACTCTTTATGCCAGCTGTCACTTAGACCCATTCAGGTGTGAGAGGCCCCAGTGGAGATGTTACTTCAGGAAGCAGCCTGTGCATGAAGACTGACATCTCTCCTTCCAGCCAAAATGGTACTGCCCACAGGCTCAGTCCTAATGTGTGACCAGCAGCTGCTGGTAACTCTAGTGATGTGTTGTTAGTGCTTGCCTTGTTAGAGGCAGGGCTGTGGGAATGGCCTGGTGCCTTCTAGAGGGACAGGAATGCTGTCTGTGGTGGGGAATCAGCCCATGGCCATGGCCTGTCTGTCCCCACCCTTACTGTGCCAATCATAATAAACCCATATACACATTCTGCAATGAATCATCTGGCCTCTAAGCCTCAGAGCTTCCTCTTTTCCTGCACCTGGTCTGCCTGCCACAGGTCTGAAGGCAGTGGGTGCTAAGATGGAGTGGAGTGTAAGATGCCCACAGGCCTGGTACTGGGTGTGGCCCACTCAGGCCTCATCTAGACTCACGTTTCCTTCTGAGCTACTGGAAGACAGGCTGCCAAGCTTGCAGGAGGCTATCAGGAGAGGCTGCGGGCAGAGCCCTGGCTCCGTGTTTCTGAGGTCGGTCAGAGATCCACTCCCTCAGGGTGGCACCGCACTGGTCTGCCAACATCCCATCAATGGGGATTCTGGCAGAGCCAGTGCTGGGGCCATCCCTGTGCCTCCACAGGCCACCAGGAAGCTGGGACATGAGCCTCATTCCCCATATGGCCCGGGGACCCCTACTTCTCATAGAGAAGAGGGCTCATTTCTAAGGAGGTGAGACGATCTGGATGTCAGGGTGGAAGGCAGTATCTGATTGGTACTAAGGCACAGATGCATGTCTTCCATCCATTTTCCCTCCAGGCCTTGCTGGCCAGCTCCCTCACCTCTTACTTGCCAGCCAGCTTTCTGGCCAGACATCACACACGGAAAAAAAGTGACACTGACCAGGACCAGCTGGGGCCTCTGTAGCCTGGGTCCTGTCTCCAGGCTCCTGTCTCACATTTTTCTCTAATTGGGAGATGGCCCTGCATGGACTATAACCATGAGGCAGCGAGGAGAACAGGGAAAGGCTCTGAGGCTTAGGCTCTGCCACCAGCCAGCCAGCCGGGTGTCCTTTAGTAGACAGACCCCTTCGGTGAAGCAGTAGGTCAGCAGTACCCCCTGGTTGTGGAGATCACACCTGGTTGGACACGTTTAGGAAACAATGAATTAGATGATGTTTTAAGATCCCTCAGTTTACTCTAGAAATGTGCCTCTCTTCCTTGACCTTATGGGCCTTGGGAAGTATGAATGAATTGTAGCTGGACTTTTGGCTGAAGGGGCAGAATGACCTGTAGGTGTCCCTGAGAAGTTCTGGGCCCCTGATGATGGAACGAGGATCTGCCTGACTCAGCCTTTACCTGGGGCAGCAGCTGCAGCCTGGCTGAGCAAAACCCCCTGGGCCTGCAGACCCAAGCCAGCAGGCCTTGGAGCAAGGGCTGCTTCTCAGCCCTCTGTCTCAGGACCAGCCTGAGAGGCCCAGTGCTCACCCAGCTGTGGTCTGTGCATTGTGGGTCATGGTGAGGCAGTCACACCCCAACACACTTAGGGAACGGTCATCCTTGCAGCTGCTCTGGCTGGGGCTAAAGTCTGATCTCTGATTCCCTAGAAATGCTGAGAAGGAGGACAGAGATCAACCAGACGGCCAGGTAGTAGAGGTCTGCAGCAGCAGGGGGTATATCAAGAAAAAAGGGCCAGAGGGGCCTGAGTATTGCCTATAAAATTCTCAGGGGGACAAGATTGACTAGGTCCAAAGTGGCCAAAAGCTACACTGGAAGAGTCTCATCATGTTGTTATTCTCTCTGTTCTGAGGAGGTCCAGTCTGCGTCCTTCACCATCGGCCTGGAGACTGGGCCTGGATGGACACCAGTGGGTTGTCTGGTTGCAGGAAAGGAGGCCAGGAGAACCAAGTGCCGCCAGAGCTAAGGATCTGGGCCAGAAGCCGAAGGCAGTAGCTGTCAGGGAGGGGGTGGAAGGACTCCCAGGCCTGGAGGGAGAACTTTGACTTGGATGATGTGGCTGAAGAGGGAGGAGTGACCTGGCCAGTGCTCCGATGGGGGCTGGGAGCTGAGCCAGCTTTGAAGTGTAAACTCACTGCCGGCAGGCAGGAGGGAGCAGGCAGGTTCCAGCTGACCCCACTAGCCGGCCTGGATTATTGGAGGGAGGACATTCCTCTGCCCTTCTGCCTTGGTGGAGGGAGGGGCATAGGGACATTCGTAGGGACTGGCCCCTGGGCCAGTCTCATGCTGTTGAAACCTCCCCCAACCCCTTTCAGCTAGATTCTTTGGGGCAAAGGAGAATCCAGGTGTCTGGAACAGCTACCCTGCCTTTAACCCAGCCTCCAGCAGGATCCTTCCAGAGCAGTTCCCTCAGGCTGGGGGCCTGGATCTTGGAGCTGTCACTAAGCATCTAGGAACCTGGGCCCATCACTCCACCTCTCTGAGCCTCAACTCCCCTGTGAAATGAGTAGGAAAGTAACAGACAAGGTGAGTGTGATGATGAAAGAGACCATGGAGTGGAGTGGTTAGGAAATGGAAAGGTCTGTGAGGAATTTATGTGGTGGAGCCTTGCTTCCCATAAAGGGGTGAGCATGAATTCACTGGAGAACTTGTGGGGAATGCCGAGCTCCTCCCTAATCTGCCTTTTAAACAAGGTCCCCAGGGGGCTGGAATGCACGTTCAAGTTGGAGAAACTGCCTCTGTAACAACCTTGCCTTCTTTAAGCCCCCACCTCCTTTGCTCAGGCTGCTGCCACCTTCAGGGCTAACTTGCCCCAGAGCAGCTTTGGATGAGGCAACTGGGACACAGCACTGAGGCTTCAGGTAGCAGGGGTCTGCTGCCCTCATCACACGGCCTCTCCCTGCCCACGCCCAGGCAGGGGACTCCTGTGCCCATGAAGTGCAGCAGAGCTGGTCGCATCTGCAGACCAGCTGGGATCGAGGGTTCAGGTGGCCTGCACGTGGCAAAGGAGGCCGATTCTCAGAAAGACTGGGGAGGGGCCCCAAGAATAGGTCAGTGGCTAAGGGCACTGAGTAGTTAGAGGGCAAGGCCAAGGGTGGCGGGAGGTGGTGTGCTGAGGCCAGGCACAGCCTGGTAAGGAGCCTTCATTGCACGTATGTCCAGCTGGCTCAGAGTAATGGTGCTTAGGCTGGAGATGTACTGAGGGTTCCACTGATTCCTGCCAGAGGCTGCCTCCCTCCCTATTCAAGCTGGTTACTATCAAGGCAGGGGATGGAGACGTGTACGGCAGACCCTGTCCCCAAAACTCAACCTGGGGCCCTCGTGCACATGGCAGATAGGCTTGATTGTAGGCCCAGGCTTGGTTGTAGCAATAGGGTTCAGGGGAGGTCCAGCCTAACCCCTCACCGTCAGCCTGCCTTCCCTCCCCACTGCAGATAACAGGTGGTTGGGGAGGGGAGGCACAGAGTCAGTTCCTGAGAAGAGACGAGGCTGTCTCAGCCCAGAGAGGCCATCTGAGGAGCTGCTTCCCCAGGGAGGATGGTGAATATATGGGGGTCACAGCTGGGTTGAGGAAGTGGGAGCCATTAAGTTGGACCCATGGGCGCAGCACCCTCCAAACTGGTGTCAGAGCCTCCAGACGAATCCCGGGAGGAGCGGCCCTGCAGGAAGCGGATGATCTTCTCAATGGTGGCCTCCTGGTACTCATGGGACCACCTGCGGGCACAGGCCACCTGGGTCAGAGGGCTCAGCAGGGGCAATACTGGCAATTGGTCTTTCCTCTGCCCTCTTGCTGCTTCGTGGGGTGATTGCTCCCTACCCTCCCACCTCAGCCCTCATTCCCCGAGACCTCGGGACTCACTTGATGCCGTTGAAGGTAAGCACGGCCTGCATGTCCTCAGGTAGGGCCTCGGGCTCGGGCCACTCGAAGCCATCAATGATGGGGACAATGTTCTTGCCACAGCTCAAAGCAGTCACAATCTCCTGCAGGAAGAACAGAGAGGGGCCACGGAGGTGAGGAAGAGACCCTTGTTCACATCCAGGGTCTGGCAGGTCCTGGGAGAGCTGAGCCAAGGCTGAGCCCAAGGCAGGACAGGACGCTGGTCCTGGGGTTCACCTTAACTTTCCACAATCCCCACATGAGCCCTGGTGATTGTGCTTCATACTGAGCCCTTGACTGTACTCCTTCCTGATGTCTCAAATCCATGCACCTTCCTCTCCCTCCCCACTGCTCCATGCACCTTCTTCTCCCTCCCCCCTGTTCCATGCCCACAGGGTCACCCCTTGTCCACTTTTGCCTCCTCTAATTTGTTCTTCACAATGTCCCTTTCCTAAATAATCGTTGCAAAATGAAAATCTGACCCCAGACTTAGAATAAAGTCTGCATCTTGATGTGGCCTGCAAGGTCCTGGCATGCAGCCCATTTCTCAAACCCCTCCATCCTCCTCCCACCCACACTAACGTGCAGCTTCTTGGACTTGCCGTCCTCCCTCCCTGCATGGGACCTCAGCACATGCTATTTCCTTAGCCTACAATGCCCTTAGCCTAGAGGTGCTTCCAGATACCTCATGCCCACCCATTTTCCTGATCTGGGCTTAATCAGCATTTCCTCAGGGAAGTCTTCCTTCACCTCCATGACCAGGTCACATCCCCCATCAAAGGCTCTTATAGCACTGGGTTCCTACTGTGGCAAATTTAAATTAGCAGTTGTTGTCGAGTTCCATCAAGTCAGAACCCACTCATAGCTGACCGTCTAATGGGTTTTCAAAGGCAGAAAATTACACAGGTGGAGACTGCCTTGCTCTTGTAGAGCAACTGGTGAATTTGAACCGAATACCTTTGAGTTGGCAGCACAATTCCTTACCACTCAGCCACCAGACCTTCCTTTATTTAGTGGGTAATTGTCCTAGTATCTATATTACCACCAGGGGGCTCTGGTGGTATAGTGTGTAGGGAGTTGCTGCTAACTCAAAGGCAGTGCCTTTCTCTGTTTGAAAGCCCCAGCAGCTCTGTGAGAGAAAGAAGTGCAATCTCAGCTAGGAGTTGGTTCCAAAGTTTTTCAGTACTTTACCCACCAGGCATAAAGGCAAGGACCCTTCAAGTTACGGTTGGTACCCTGAGAGGGTAGAGGAGAAACCGTAAATTTGTAGCCAGCGGGACAGAAGTGAGGCCTCCTGTGGGCTCTGAGCTGGTGGCTGTTTTCTGTTTGGCTCTCTTCAGGGCAGTGCCCTGCCAACGTGTGAGCTCTGACCTAGCTCCAGGTGGCCAGGGGCAGAAGAGGCTCTTACAGCACTGGGTTCCTACTGCAGCAGCACGTGCAGCAGCACGTGGCAGCTGGTATCAGAAAAGAAAAGTGGGGGGTTTATTTATGTGATATTTTTACATTCTACACAGAAGACAACTGTGTTATTCTGTGCAAAGTGTTTAGAACAGGGCCTAACTACTCAACCAGACTAAAAATGCACCATCTTCAAATTGGTTCCAATTCATAGCAACCCTCCATCGGGTTTATAAGACCATAAATCGTAAGGAGAGGAGACTTTTCATCTTTTTCCTGAGGAGACACTGGTGGGTTCGAACCGCTGGAGTAGTGTGGTCATTGGGTTAACAGGGCAACTCACTGCAGATTACGCCACCACAGCTCCCCTAATAAATATTAGGCATTATCACTTCCTCCTCTGAAGATGAGGAGTGTAAAACCTACCTCCCAAGATTGTTCCGAGGACAGCTTACTATTAGTGGCTGCTCTGCTAAGTGCATATTGATTGTTTCTTTTCCTTTCAAGGGGAAACCGCAGGGACTGGACTTGCCCGAGTATGGCTCACTTGTGGTTTTCTATATTGATCACCCACTAAATGTGGCTTCGGGGAAAAGAGTTTTAAAATCAGAGGCAATTAAGTACTTAAAACACCTGAGAAGGGATGATGGATAATGGGGCTGCTGAGATTGGTCCAAGGCAAAGCCCGCACCTCGCCTGTCTCCTCCCTCCACCCCTTCTGCTTGGAGGATGGGTTCGCAGCACCCTCATGCAGGGAGGGAGCCTCGGGGTGGGGGGAGAACCTGCATAACTCTGGCCTTGACTGGCTTCGGGGAGCCTCTTCAACTTGACCAGTGAGAAGAAGAGAGCCTGGTGAAGGGAAAGGGTTTTTCCCAAGTCACACAAACATGCCTGGCCCATGAGGGACCAAGCCTCTGACTTGAGCCTTCTGCTTGCAAATCTAGGACCTTTTCGGCCTCTCTGCTGAGCATCTGGATGAATTTCTACTCTGCAGAACTGTAGGAATCTTTAGACATTCGTTTCACCAATGAGAGAGAAGAGAAGCAAAGACAGCCCAAACCACTCATGGCATAGATGCGGAAGTTACAGGATAATGGTTTGTTCAGGATCACTCAGCTAGTTAAGAATGAAACTTGATTAGAGCTAGACAGGCCTTCAGGCCAGGTAAACCTAGAGGAAAGTTGCCCCAGTAATCTTAGTTCCAGCTCCATCAGAAGCACTCATTTGTTTAATCATTAACTCAACTATATCATAAATGTCTCAAAAGCCCAACTTGATGTCAAGCATGGATTTATGTACCAGGATGCATGGGAAACAGGAAGAAGTCTGACCTCTTATGGAATTCACTGGCATTCACTGTTGGCCTCATGGATAGAAAGTTATGCTACCATGCTAATCTGTGGCCCGTGGGCGTGGTTTTAATTGTTTTTGATCAAACATTCTTCTAAGTGATATAGCACTGGTCTGTCCATTTGCTGTACAGAGGTAACTCTTGGTTGCTGTGATGTTAAAAACTGTGACTCTGATGTGTAAAAGTGTTTGGTGGAGCTCTACGATTAAAATAGGCTTGGAAATAGCTTGCCTAAGGAAACTCAATGATCTTGGAGAAACAATGAAAGCTATACAAGGGTTCAGGTCTTTTGTTCATAGGATTGCTATGAGTCGTCTATGACTGAGTGATACTTAACAACTTCTCTCTCTCTCTCTCTCTCTCTCACACACACACACACACACACACACACACACAGAGCAGTTGTCTTTCAGCTTGTCTGGACCATCATCTCTGTTTCTTCAGGAGGTCTCCCGGCCCAGTGTGTCCCTTCCCCAAACAGTTTTGATTCTCTGCCCTTCCTACCTGGCTTCTGGGGTTGACCACCTTTCCCACTGCCAATAAACCCACTGGCCCAGCATCACCTCTTTCCTGCACTTCCTGCCCCCCACCCCCCAGCATTTTAAACACAAGTTTTCTCCCTGCCTCTAGATGCTCCACAGCCTGGTTATATACGGTTCTTGGCCAACAGGTGGTGTGCTGGTAAAGGTTTAGTAACTAGTTGTCATGGATTTAATTTTGCTTCCCCAAAATACATACATATAATGGGGAAGCTATGTAATGGCCCCCTGTGATCTGATAAGCCAAATAGTGGTAGAAGGTTTAAAGGTGGAATGCAACCCAACCATAATTGGATATAAAGGGAGTTCCCCTAGGGTGTTGCCAATAATACCTTTTGTATAGCTCATTAGAGATAAAAGAGGAGGAAAGGAAGATTTGGGGGACGCTCAGCACCACCATGAAATAACTGCCAGGAGGATGTATCCTTCTGGACCCAGCCCCTGTGAGACAAAGCTCTTCCACAGGGGAGAAGGCACAGGGACATCTCTGAGGAAGGTGGGGCTACCCGTTGAGCTGGCACTCTGAATTGAGATTTACAGCCTACAAAACTGAAAGAGAATAAACTTTTTGTGAAAGCCACCCATTCGTGAGAGCTCTGTTATAGCAACATCAACTAACTAAGGAACTAGCGTTCTTGGGGAAAGCAAGCCAACGAACTAACGAAAAATCAAAACCCTGATTTGTTGTGTTTGCCAATTTCCTTGGTGTAGATATTCCAACCATGGCTGCTTTCAATTGGCGGAAGACTCAGCAACCTGCACTTTGCAGATAACAACACAACTTTGCACAAAGTGAAGAAGACTTGAAACACCTGCTGCATAGCTTCACTGAACATACAGTTGGGAAGAAATGGGGACAACCAGCTCTCACGAGCCACTGTGAGCTGACTCCAACTCTTTCGAGCACTCCCTTCTTATCCACTCAGCTCTGGGTCATGGAACAAAGTGCTGGACCTGGCTAGGAGTGTGGACTTTGGCGTCAGATAGACAGGTTTCAAAACCCAGCTTGTCTGACTTCTACATTAGTGGAGAGGGTGAAACCACATTGTTCCTTGAAATCAAGGATTTTGAAGCTCCATCTGACATACTTTGGGCATGTTGCCAGGAGGGACCAGTCCTTTGGAGAAGGATACCATGCTTGCACGGATGGAGGCACAGTGCAGGAGAGGAAGACGCTGGATGAGATGGATTGACTCAGTAACTGTGGTAATGGGGTGGGTAGGTGTGTCGGAGATGATAAGATTGGCTTAAGATGGGGCATGGTTCAGAGCTATTGGACATATTGAGTACCATGAGTTGCAAGGATCTTGATGGCACCTGATAACAACAATAGTGTGGCCATGGGAAAATGACTTCTCAGAGTTTCAATGTCTTCATCTGTAAGATGGAAAAAGCAATACCAATGCTGTTAACTCTTGGCACCTTCTTTTTTTAAAAGAAAATTTTATTTTCTATTATTTTTTGTGTGTGTACCGTCAAATCAGATCTGACTGGTACAGGAGGAAATTGTTCCCCCTTTTCCAGCAGAGCATCTGGTGGATTCAAACTGTGTGCCTTTGGGATTGCGGTGCAGCTTCTTGCCACTAGGCCACCAGAGCTCCCCTCTTGGCACCTTCTTATCAATTGTTCCTTCATTTATGCTGTTCCCCTGACATGGGATTTCCTCTTCCACTTGCCGAAACTCCTAAGGTTCTTCTCAAGTTCTGCTTCCTTCATGCAGCCTTCCTTGATTATTCCTGCCCTTGATGTTCTTTCTCTTCACCATACTCCTCCAGCAAGTAATAGTAGGCTTGCCTTTTCGCCCAATATCTACACCAACTTACACAGTCTAGTCACTCTGGGCATGTTGTTGTGTCCCCTGCTGCCAGAGGACAAAGGCCTCATCTCAAAGGGCTACTGCAGTCCTTAGCTTTAATCCCAGTTCCTTCCCACTGATTTATTAATGATTAATAACTTGCCGATGTTACACAACAAGCTCCCTGCCATGTAAACACAATGTGGCCTCGATCATGACTGGACAATGAAGCCAATAAAGGTTGTGGGGATGGAAGCTCCAAGAACTTCCTAGTTGATTAAAAACAATGCTACATGTGGGAGAGCAGCATATCTCTGTTTCTGGAATATGAGAGGCTGGCAATGGGGAACCATCCCAGACCTCACTCCACATATCACTTCCTTCGGTTGATTCTAATTGGTTTCCTTTTGTTATAACACATCTATAATTATAAGTCTAAAAAATATTAACTATAAACCTGCAGATGTAATTTACCCAAGCAGCTACTACATTCAGTTACTATCTCATGGCCTAGTAGTAAGAAGCTGCGCTACAATCCCCAAGGCATGGGGTTCAAATCCACCAACTGCTTCACAGGAGCAGGACTGGCAATCTCCTCCTGTGTAATTTACTGCCTGTGAAAACACACCAAAGGGTCAGATATGGGTCGGTTCCAGCTTGATGCTATTCAACAACAATATGCCAAACACTGATGATACAATTAAACAGTGGTCGTGTTGCTGTGTTGTCTGCGTGGAGCCAAAATCAACCCACAGCTAGAGCTTCTAGAGCATTTTCAGAGGCAGTAAATTGCACGGGAAGAGATCACTCATTCTCCCAAAGGGCAGCTGGCAGGATTGCAGCATAGCTTCTTATAGGCCACAGGAGCTTCCTATATGCCAAACACTGATGATATAACGAAACAGTGATAGTTGTTGTTGTTGTTATGTGCCGTCGAGTCGCTTGCGACTCATAGTGACCCTATGTACAACAGCCCTAAACTCTGCTCTGTCCTGTGCCAATCGCACTGTCTCTGACACTCCCATCCCGAGTATCCCAGTCACTGAATCAATCCACCTCATAGAGGGTCTTCCCCTCCTGCGCTGTCCCTCCACCCTCCCAAGCATGATGTCCTTCTCCAAGGACCGGTCTCTCCTCACAACATGTCCAAAGTATGTTAGACAGAGCCTCAGAATCCTTGCCTCCAAGGAGCCACCCGGTTTAACCCTTTCCAGGACAAATCTGTTTGTTTTTCTAGCAGTCCATGGTATTCTTCAGGCTGCTTTGAAGGAAATGGCAAAAAATAAGGCTCCAATTGACCAATTTCAGTTGACATATTTCAGTTAACAGATGCTGCCCTGGATGTGCTCACCAAGTTGTGCCAAGAAATCTGGAGAACAACCACTTGGCCAACTGACTGGAAGAGATCTATATTTGTTCCTATCCCAAAGAAAGGTGACCCAACAAGAATGTGGAAACTACAGAACAATCTCACTGATTTCACATGCAAGCAAGATTCTACTGAAGATTATCCAAAAACGACTGGAACAGCACATCAACAGAGAACTACCAGAAGTCCAGGCTGGGTTTAGAAGGGGTCGTGGTACTAGGGATATTGTAGCTGATGTTAGATGGATCTTAGCTGAAAGCAGGGAATACCAGAGGAATGTCTATCTGTGTTTCATTGACTATGCAAAGGCATTTGACTGTGTGGATCATAACAAACTATGGCTGACTCTGAGAAGATGGGAATCCCAGAATACTTGATCGTTCTAATGCGAAACCTATACTTGGACCAGGAGGCAGTCGTCAGAACAGAGCAAGGGAACACTGCATGGTTCAAAATTGGGAAGGGCGTGCGCCAGGGATGCATCCTATCTCCATACCTTTTCAACCTATATGCAGAACAGGTTATCTGGGAGGCTGGGCTCTATGAGGAGAAATGTGGGGTCAAGATTGGTGGACGATTTATCAACAATCTGTGTTATGCAGATGACACAACCCAGCTTGCTGAAAATGAAGAGGACCTGAAGCACCTGCTGCATAGGGTCAAGGACTGCAGCCTCCAATATGGATTGAGGCTCAATGTCAAGAAGACAAAGATTCTTACCACTGGACCAATTGGCAGCATCAGGATGGATGGTGAAGAGATTGAGATTGTACACAGCTTTAGTTTGCTTGGCTCCACAGTCAACACTTTTGGCACCAGCAGCCAGGAAATTAAAAGGCGCATTGCCATGGGAAAGTCTGCTGTTAGGGACCTCTCCAAAGTGCTGAAGAGCAATGGTGTCTCTCTGGAGACTAAAGTGCATCTGATACAGGCCATGGTCTTCGCAATCACTTGTTATGCATCAGAGAGTTGGACAATGACCAAGGAGGATAGAAGGAGAATTGATGCCTTTGAGCTGTGGTGCTGGAGAAGAATATTGAGAATACAGTGATAGTACTCATAAAAAATTATGTTACCAATTTATTTCATGGACTGCTAGGAGAACAAAAAAGTTTGTCCTGGAGAGGGTGAAGCCAGGCTGCTCCTTGGAGGCAAGGATTCTGAAGCTTCGTCTGACATACTTTGGGCATGTTGCAAGGCGGGACCAGTCCTTGGAGAGGGATGTCATGCTTGGGAGGGTGGAGGGACAGTGCAGGAGAGGAAGACCCTCAATGAGATGATTGATTCAGTCACTGGGGTAATAGAGACAGGCGTGTCAGAAACAATAAGATTGGCACAGGACAGAACAGGTGTAGGGCTGTTGTACATAGGGTCGCTATGAGTCGCAAGCGACTCGACAGCACTTAACAATTGCTGCTGTTATTGGGCAGCTTACCATGGGCCAAACACTCTATTATGCTCTTCAAAAACTTTGTTCTTTTAATCCTTCCAACACTGTTCTAAGAAATCAGGGCTATTATTATTGCCATTTTCAGTAGAAAATACAACATTCTTTGGGATTAAGTACCTTGATGAAGGTTAGAGCCAAACGCAAGTTCACAGCCTTGTGCTCAGCCATTTCACTCTGCTTGTCAATGCTCTCCTGACCACCTGCCCTTACAGAGCTTATTTTCAAAACCATTTTCATCTCTCTTTCTGAACCGAACAACAACCCTACAAGTAAAAAGTGATGTCGTTGTTGTTAAGTGCCACCAAGTCAGCCTTAACTTAAGTGACCCTCTGTACACAGAAAGACACTGCCCGGACACGTGCCCTCTTCACAACTGCTGCCACCTTATCATTTCACTGAGGGTCTCCTTGTTCGATGACTCCCTACTTTCTTTGTTTAGGGACTGGCTCCTGCTAGTAACCTGCCCAAAGTGTGTGAGAAGAAGTCTTGACATCCTCACTTTGAAGGAACATTCTGACTGCAATTTTTCCCAAGACAATCATTTCTTTTCTTTTGGAAATCCATGGTATACTCAATACTCTTCCCCAACACCATAACCCAAAGGCTTCACTTAGTCTTTGATCTTCCTTATTTCTTTCCCAACTTTTGTATGCACATGAATCAAAACACAAAAAAGAATAAACAGTCATCGCCTTGAGTTAGAACCAACTCATAGCTGATCCTCCATTGGGTTTCCAATGCCATAAATTGCATAGCAAGCAATTTGCCTTCCTTTGAGCTGCTAATGGATTTCAATCTACAGAGAGGCTCAGCCTTTGGGTCACCAACCAGTACAAGTCTTTAAAGACTATGTTCTCACAAGCCTCTTACAGAAAGTACTATGGTTGGGGTCCAGCATGCCTTAGGTGACATCATTGCTCTGTAGCAATGAGTAAACTGTCCCCATTTTGCAAATGAGAAAACTGAGCTCAGGAAACTTGAGTGATTTAGTCTCTTCATCACAGCTGAAGCTATGGCTCCTAACTTCCAGCTGAGCCAGGAAGGAGCTTTGCACTTAATTGTTACCAGGGTGTGTAGATGAGAAAAGATAAGAAGTGGCCCCTGTTCCATAGCTACGACTACTGCAGGGACCACAGAGGCTCAGGCCACACCTACCTTGTGCACCCAGTCCTTGCAGTCATGGTCCTGCATGCATTTGTCCAGTGCCCCGGCCGACAGCACCAGCACAAAGTTCCGAGCATCCATGACACTCTGGATGAGCTTGTCCTCGAACTTGCCTGCTTCTAGCTTCTCCACATCAATAAATACACTGAAGCCGTGCAGCTGCAGGTGCACCTTCAGGAGGCTGTGAAGAGGTCTCAGGTCACTGTCTTGGTCCTGGCCCAGAGCCCCAGGCTGCCTACCTGCCCCTCCTCACCTGGCCAGTTGGGAACCCGAATTCCGACGGTAGCTGATGAAGACATCTGGGGCATCCCCACTGGGCTTGCTGACCGTGCAGGGCAGTGGAGAATGGAGCATTTCTGCAGTGGATAAGAGACAACATGCTGAAGATGGGCATTCTCCATCACTTACCACGAGACACATCATCACCTGGGGGCCTGGTCCTATCATTCCAGCCAAGGCACTAGGGTGGGACTTGCTCAGAAAAGGATCACAGAAATGGAGCAATTGGGCATACAAGTAAGTTATCCCCATTTTGCAGCTGAGGAAACTGAGACTACAGGAAGGAAGGATGCTAATCATTAGTAAACCCCTTTCATGAGGCAGGCAGTGTATTTGGGAGACATTGATACATCTCTCTCCTGCCCTGTTTCTAAATTCAGACCTACCCAAACTCCCTCATTCATATTTTTTCTTGCAAAGTCCCAACACCTGGTATCAGCTTCAATTCCTACATCTCATCCATTCATTCAAGAAATAGTTATTAAGTATTTCTGTGCACCGTATCTCTATTCTTAGATACAGCAGTGAACAGACAAATCCTACCCTCAAGACACTGACATTCAGCCCTCAGTCAGGTGCTGTGCTCTATGGATTCTACCTATGAAACACCCTACCTTTCAATTTCAGCTTCTTCACTGTTGTTGTTAGGTGCCATTGAGTCAAGTACGACTCACAGCGACCCTGTGAACAAGAGATACGGACCCTGCCCTATCGTGTGCCTTCCTCATCATCACTGACATAATCTCTAGCCCCTTGCTGCCATCACTATGTCCATGTATCTCACTGGGAGTCTTTCTCTCCTTCACTGGCCCTTCATCTTTCCAAGAATGATGTCCCTCACCTAGCAACATGCCCAAAGTATGAGAGACAAAGTTTCATCATCTTTATCTGCAAGGAACATTCGGGCTGTTCTTTCTCTAAGACATTTCTGTTTGTTCTTTTGGCAGTCCATAGGATATTCAGTACTCTTCTCCAGCACCACAATTCGAAGGCATCAATTCTTCAGTTATCCTTATTCATTGTCCAGCTCTCTGAAGTGTAGCAGGTGATTGTGAAGACCATGGCCTGAATTAGGCACATCTTCATCTTCAAACTGACATCATTGCTTTTAAGTATTTTGGAGAGATCTTGAACTTTCCTTATACAATGTATATCTTGATTTCCTGACTGCCAGTGTTGATTGTTGATCCAAGCAAGATGAGATCACTGACAGCTTTAATCTTTCCTCCATCTATTATGATGTTGACTGTTGACCTTGTGGTGAGTACCTGTTCTCTTGATATTGAGATGTAATCTAGGCTGAAGACTGCAATCTTCCTCATTGGTCTCCCCAAATTCACACTTGCCCAGCCTAACATTTTCTGCAGCTACCAAAGGGATCTTCTTAAGACCCATATCTGAGCAAGTGCTCCCCACTTAAAAATTGGAAAGGGAACTCTGGGAGACCACAGGAAATTGTGATAGTAAACCAAGGGTCACTCTTCTCTGGAGGTTCAAACCCACCAGTAGCTCCATGTGAGAAAAATGGACAAACTCCTTCTATGCGAATTTACAGCCTCGGCAACCCACTGAAGGGTCAGCCATTAATTCCAACTCATCAGCAATAACAGTGACTTCCTACTCCATAGAGAAGGTGTTTGTAAGCTATTTTAGCCATAAGAACCTCTTGTTGAGAGAGAGAGAGAGAGAGAAGAAATCATAGGAGTTTTTACTCAAAACTATAATATAAAAACAACAAAATCTAAGCAGCTTTGACTAAAGCACAAGATTGAGGGTAAAACTCAAGCCTTTGTTCCTTGTCAGGTCTCAATTAATAGATAAAAAAATAATCTATTTTCTCCTAATATTCAACTTAACCACAAACAACATTTGTCTGTTTATGAAACAGAAAGTCATGGGTTCAAGTCACAGTTGTTGTTTAATGGCTTTTATAACCTTAAAATTTATTTAAACTCCTCATATCTTCGTATCATCCTTGAAACAGATATCCATGATGGAACGGAATGATCTTTGCTTTGTTGTTGTTGTTGTTATTGTTGTTGAGTGCCTTCGAGTCAAGCACGACTCATAGTGACCCTATGAACAAAAGGCCTGAGGCCTTTCTATAACTACTGACATTTATCAAAGTTCATAGAGTTTCCAGAGGCGTTTAAGAAGTAGTAGCCACTCCAGGACTATAGATACATATTATTTTTTTAAGCTCCTTGAACTAAACTCTTTCAAGTTAAAGTGTTGTTGTTGTTGTTGTTGTGTACCACAGAGTCAGAACTGGCCCACGGATGACCTTCCAGCAGGTTTTCAGAGACAGTTAATCACACAGGAGATTGCCCATCCTTCTCCTGTGAAGCAGTTGGTGGCCTCAAACTGTGTGCCTTCAGGATTGCATCACAGCTTCTTGCCACTAAGCCAATAGAGCTTCTTTTTTTCTTTAAATTTTTTTTTTTAAAAAATGCCTACAGCATAGAATAGGTATACGGATCAACAATATTCATTTAAAAGTTAGTATTCAATAATTGCCCAATAAATAGTAGTTGAAGACACAATGCTGGGAAAAGTAGAAGGTCAGCATAAAAAAGACCCTCAACAAGATGGATTGGAGGGAGGGAACCCAAAACCAAACAACAACAAAAAAAAACAAAAAAACCACCAGGCTCCAGCTGTGGCCACCACATAATGGTTTTTGTATTGTTGTTGTTCTTGTTATGTGCCGTCGAGTTGCTTGCGACTCATAGCGACCCTATGTACAACAGCCCTAAACCCTGCTCTGTCCTGTGCCAATCTCATTGCCTCTGACACACCCATCCCGATTACCCCAGTCACTGAATCAATCCACCTCATAGAGGGTCTTCCCCTCCTGCGCTGTCCCTCCACTCTGCCCAGCATGATGTTCCTCTCCAAAGACCTGTTTCTCCTTACAACATGTCCAAAGTATGTCAGGCGAAGCCCCAGAATCCTTGCCTCCAAGGAGCAGCCTGGTTTAACCTTCTCTAGGATGAATCTGTTTGTTTTCTTGGCAGTCCATGGTACATTCAGTACTCTTCTCCAGCACCACAGCTTAAAGGCGTCAATTCTCCTTCTATCCTCCCTAGTCATTGTCCAACTCTCTGATGCATAACAAGTGATTACAAAAACCATGGCCTGTATCAGGCACACCTTAGTCTCCAGAGAGACACCACTGCTGCTCTTCAGCACTTTGGAGAGGTCCCTAACCACAGACTTTCCCATCGCAATACGTTTTTTGATTTCCTGGCTACTGGTGCCAAGAGTGTTGACTGTAGAGCCAAGCAAACTGAAGCTGTGAACAATCTCAATCTCTTCACCATCCATCCTGATGCTACCAATTGGTCCAGTGGTGAGAATTTTTGTCTTCTTGATATTGAGCCTCAGTCCATATTGAAGGCTGCAGTCCTTGACCCTCTGCAGTAAGTGCATGAGGTCCTCCTCAGTTTCAGCGAGCAGGGTTGTGTCATCTGCATAATGCAGATTGTTGATAGATCGTCCACCAATCCTAACGCCACACTTCTCCTCATAGAGCCCAGCCTCTCGGATAATCTGCTCCGCATACAGGTTGAAAAGGTACAGAGACAGGACACATCCCTGGCTACACTCTTCCCAATTTTGAACCATGCAGTGTTGCCCTGCTCTGTTCTGACTACTGCCTCTTGGTCCAAGTATAGGTTTCGCATTAGCACGATTAAATGTTCTGGGATTTCCAGTCTTCTCAGAGTCAGCCACAGTTTGTTATGATCCACGCAGTCAAATGCCTTTGCATAATCAATGAAACACAGATAGACATTCTTCTGGTATTCTCTGCTTTCAGCTAAGATCCATCTAACATCAGCTACAATATCCCTAGTACCACGACCCCTTCTAAACCCAGCCTGTATAATTGAAATAAAATTAAGTCAGAAAAAAACCCAACAACCCACCACCACAAGATGGACTGGCACAGTGATTACAGCAATGCGCTTGAACATAGCAGTGATGTGAGGAAGCAGGGTCTCGATCTATTTTCCCGGCGTTATTAGAATCCCAAAATTAATTCAGTGCACGTAACAAGAAGTCTCAGCAAATGAAAGGCGGGGTTGTTGGAACTCAGAATCTACTCAGATCTCATAAAGCACCTCCACAATCTGGGCCTTGTCAGCCGCTGGCTATTAGGATAATCTTCCCGACTTCCCATTCAGCCTCCAAGCTCCATAAACCTCTACACTTCTTTATACAAATTGTTCCTTCTCTCTAGAGGGCCCTACCTCCTGTCGGGACTTCCTTCCCTCAATACGTTCAAGATTTGTTCAAGCATCCATCCCCTCATCTTGAAAATCTATACTTCACAGTGTTTCCTCTGTGACCCCATGGTTCCCTAGAACCACCTGCCATGGGCTCTTTAAATACTTGCTTCACACTCATCCTTATTTCAAACCGGGATCTTCTTTCACCCTCACATTCCAGAGCCCAGTAGACAAGGCTCTTGTGCTCAACAAATGGCCAGAGGCTCTGAGGCCTCCTCTTCCGGCTGCAGGCGGGCCTGGGTCTCCCGGGGGCAGGCTGACCTCTAGCCGCGGAGATGATGCGGGTGCGGTGCACGCCCACGCGGACGCCGCAGTCCTCCAGGAGCTGCTGCTCGGACACGCGGTGCAGCAGGGAGCGGTCCAGGCCGCAGCTGACCAGGCCGTACGTGTACTGGCGGAAGCGCGGGTCCAGGCTGCCCAGCCAGTCTGCCAAGTTGCTGCGGTCACACGTCGCGTAGCTGGCGAAGGTCTTGAGCTCCGTGAGCTCCCTAAAGAACCTGCATCCCGTGGAGGAAGAGGATGCTCAGGTCTTGACAGAGGACTGGCCTGTGGCGGAGGGGGCATTTCGTTAAGGCTGACTGACCATAGCTGGACGGGAGGCTCTGTACCTCTTGCGGGTGATGCCCGACTTCATGCCCAGGTCTCTCTGGAGCTCTTCCTCCGTGAGGCGCAGAAGCAGATCGCCATCTACCTGCTGCTCCTGGAGGAGGGAGTCAGATGTAAACAAGGGGCTCCTCCTCAGTGTTTGCACCCCAAATGCAAGTTTCGGAAGGTTGTTGTTCTGTGCCATCGAGTCAGAGCCGACCCATAGCTGACTCTTCAGCGGATGTTCAGAGACAGTAAATCGCATGAAAGGAGATTGAGTGCCCATCCTTGTCTCGGATTCGAACCAAGAATTTTGGGGATTGCACTGCATGTTAAGCAATGGCAGAAAGATGTGGCTAGGGCTCAGATCAGAGCCGAGAGTACGGGTTCTCCACCAGCAGAGTATCGTGGAGCCGGGGTGGGGGATGGTGGTCGGCAGGGGGCGCTGTTGCCTTTGTGCAGGGCCTTAGGGCGCCCCCTAGCGGCCAGGAGGCTCAGGGATGTACCCGATCAGATTCAGGGGAGACCTCCACCGCCTCGGTGACTTTACCCGGAAGCTCTCGCAGTACTGGGAGAAGCTGATCTGCTGCAGCCACATTTGGACCTCGGCCTCCTTCCAGCTGGCCACGCAGGGCAAGATGGGCCGTGGCACCTCCTCGCCCAGCAGGCGCAATGCGCGCTTGGCCAGTGCCGATGTAGTGCCGTTGGTGGAGTAGGAGACCAAGCGTTTCAGGCTCTGGATGGCACCGATGTCACTGAACACCTGCAGGAAAGGGGAGAGAGGGTGGTTGGTGTTGGGTCCTCCAGTTCCCCAGCAGTCCTGAACGGGGCCCAAACTTTCCCCGTTCCTCCTCTCATAGACAGAAGTCTCACCATCTGCCTTTGCCCTCTCCTTATCCAGTAAGTCACCAGCGCACTGCCCTCTCCTTATCCAGTAAGTCACCAGCGCACTGCTGTTGAGTCAATTCTGACTCATAGTGAGTGACCTTCCATCAAATTTCCAAAGAGAACTGAAGATTTCATGGACTGCTAAAAGAATAAATACATAGGTCTTGGAGAAATTGCAGCCAGAATGTTCTTTAAAGGTAAGGATAGCAAAGCTTTGTCTCATACTTTGGGCATGTGGTTGATGTTGTTGTTTGGTGCTGTTGAGTCAAGTAAGACTCACAGCAACCCTAGGAACAGCAGATCTGAACCCTGCCCTATCCTGTGCCATCCTCATAATCTCTGACACACTTGAGCCCATTGGCACAATCACTGTGTCAGTCCTTCTGGTTATGGGTTTTCCTCTCTCTCTCTCTGCCCCTCCACTTTCCCAAGCATGATGTCGCTTTCCAAGGAATAGCCTCACCTAACAATATGCCCAAAATACATGAAATGAAGCTTTGTCATCCTTGCCTTCAAGGAGCACGCTGTACCCTCTCCAAGACATACCGATTTGTTTTTTGAAGGTCCGCTCAGTACTCTTATCCAGCACCAAAGCTCAAAGGCATCAATTCTTCTGTTCCCTTGCTCCATTCGGACATCTGGTTCTTGGTCTATCCTTATTCACTGTTCAGTGTTCAGATGTTTAACAACTGACTGAAAAGAACATGGCCTGAATCAGGTTCACATTAGTCTTCAAACTGACATCAATTCTCAGTAATTTGGAGAGGTCCCTGACAGCCGGCTTGCTTAAGGCAATGCACCTCTTGATCTCATGACTGCTGGTACAAAGGATGTTTACTGTAAGGATCCAAGTAAGAAGAAATTGTTGACAACTTCAGTTTTTTTCAGTCTGTCCTGATATTGTTTATCTGTCTAGTGGTGAAGATTTTTTTAAAAAATAATTTTAATGAGAATTTACAGAGATTTGGGATTTCCATTCATTCATTGCTTCACTTCTCTCGCCGAAGTAGTGAGGATTTTTGTCTTCATGATGTTGAGATACAATCTATATTGAAGGCTGCAGTCTTTGATCTTCTGCAACAAGCATTTTAAGTCCTACTCACTTTCAGCAAGCAAGGTTATATTATCTGCATAGCACAGGTTGTTGATGAGTCTTCGTCCTATTCTGATGACACAGTCTTCTTCATAGAGTCCAGCTTCTTGAATGTTTTGTTCAGAATACAGGTATGGAGAAAGGATACAACCCTGACAATCACCTTTCTTAATTTTAAACCATGCAGTGGTGTTCCCTTGATCCATTCAGACAATTGCTTCTTGGTCTAGATTATAGGTTTAATATGAGCATAGTTACATGTTCTGTGATGCCTATTTTTCTCAATGTTAGTCATGGTTTTTTTATGATCAACATAGTCAAATGCCTTTTCATAATAATAAAGCACAAATAGACATTCTTCTGGTATTTTCTTACAGCCAGGATCCAGCTGACATCAGTAATACTATCCCTGGTACTATGGCCTCTTCTAAACCCAGCGTGAACTTCTGGCAGTTCTCTGTCAATATACTGATCTAGCCATTTTTTGGATAATCTTCAGAAATATTCTATGTGCTATTAATGATATTGTTTGATAATTTCCATATTCAGTTGGATCATCTTTCTTGGGAATGGAAACAAATATGGATGTCTTCAGGTCAGTTGGCAAGGTAGCTGCCTTCCAAATTTCTTTGCATAAACTGGTGAGCACATGCAGGACTGCTGTCTGTTAGCTGAAACATGTCAATTGGTACCACATCAATTCCTGGGTTATTATTTTTCTGCCAATGTTTCCAGTGCAGCTTTTGAAAGGGACATCATGCTTGGAAAGGTCATTGAAAGAGAAAAAGACCTTTAATGAGATGGACTGACACACTGACTGCAGCAATGGGCTCCCGTATATCAGAGATGATGAGGCTGGCATGGTTAAGACAAGGTTCACATTTGTTATTAGGGTGGCTAGGAGTTGCAGTTGACTCAATGGCACCTAACAACAACAACAACAAATCTGTTTCATTTGAGTTGAAAGTTTACAGATCATACTGGTTTTTCATTTGATCACTTATACATATTTGGTTTGAGGTTTTAAAAAAAATATTTTATTATTTTGTGTGTGTGTACTGTCAAATCAGATCTGACTGGTACAGGAGGAGATTGCCCCTCCTTCTCCAGTAGAGCATCTGGTGGATTTGAACCGCACTCCTCTGGGATTGCAGTGCAGCTTCTTGTCACTAGGCCACGAGAGCTCCCTGTATATATTTGTTTTATAACACTAAGGAGGATAGGAGAATAATTGATGCCTTTGAGCTATGGTGCTGGAGAAAAGTATTGAGAGTACCATGGACTGCTAGGAAAACAAACAGATTCGTCCTGGAAAGGGTTAAACTGGGTGGCTCCTTGGAGGCAAGGATTCTGAGGCTCCATCTAACATACTTTGGACATGTTGTAAAGAG